TTCCTACTCCCTGTGTGCCTTGTCAACCGTTTCCATTATATCTCAAACTTGTTAACCTCAGAATCCGTTCGTTACGTACGAAATGTTCGCGCAACTCGAGAGCTCGAGCGCTCGACAAGAGTCGCGCCGGTCTATTCATCCTTGCCAGAGTCATCGAGGCAGAAGAGTCTGTGGCACGTCGTTATTCTTGCTAATAGATCGGCGGGAGTGGGTATTGTCCTGACACAGTTATTTGGAAGAAGGATCTCACCCTGTCGTCGTCGTCGTCGTCGTCGCCGTCGTTGTCGACATCGCTCCTTTTCCCGCCATTCTAACAGCACGAGCGTACGAGAAGGAACGAGAATCTCGTTGTCGTCATCATCGTCGTCGTCGTTGTCGTCGTCACTCGAGGAGAATAAATAAAAACAGACCGAGAAGGGGGAAGCAGGAGAGAAAAGTTTGAGCATCGACAAAAGGGCACGGGATCTCTTGCGTGCCGCTATCCGGTATCCAGGATGAGCATCGCGCGACAAAGGATGCGCACGCGGATAGGAAGAAGCGAAGCGGCATCCGAATGAATCGAATTATGCTCGCCTGGTTTGCGCGCGGCCGGCTCCACATTCGTGAAGGAAACCTATGGGCGGAGGGGCTCGAAAGGAACACGTCGTAGCACAGAGGACCCCGGATTGAATGAGTTCTGACCTCGAGGACCCATTGCCGCACACCCGGCCGTCGTAATGGATGCGCCCCCATTGAGAGTGCACGTCAAAATGCGTAACATAATATCGGGGCCCTTACGCGCAAGAGCCCATGCCTAATGGAATTTATTAGAGAAGGTACCTCCTTTTTTCGCGGGATCCTCAGGTACGCCGAATATATTCCCGAATGGATCGAGCGTTCGCCGGGTAGAATCAAGAGGTTCTCCAAATCGTCAGATCTTCGGATCACTGGAGGTGTTCTCTCGACATGGAAAAGCTAACACGGGGGGACGATCGTATAAGGAAAGAAAGTTAGATCTCGAGAGCAATTGATTGCCGTGTGATGTGCAATCTGATTCCGTCAAATATCTCTTTGTAGGTAGGTTCAATTGAAAATCAAGATAAATCCTTAGGTAACAAAACTGTCTAATTTTATTATTAAAAATATTATATCTTTAGCCTTTGTAATT